TCTGAAATTTGAATTAGAATAAAACGGAAAGAATACATCCGTGTTCCGATATTCGAATTTCAAATAGAATAGAATAAAATGGAAAGAATATTGACATCTTCCGTTATTCAATTTTCAAATAGAATAAAATAGGAAGAATATAGCCATCTTCTATTATTCCAAATTCAAAAAGAATAAAAGTGAATAGAAAGTATATAGCCATCTTCTGCAATTCGAATCAGAATAGAAAAGAATAAAATAGAATATAGCCATCTTCCAAAATTGTTAATTTAAATTGATTAGAACAGTGGTCTCCAAACTGTGGCCCAGGGGCTGGAGGTGGCCCTTTGCTTGCTTTTTTGTGGCCATTGGGGCATTATTCCCCCCACTTTCAGCAACAGTGGGGCATAGTACAGTCCACTGACACCGACAAAAGGACACTATTCCTCCTATTGATACCAATAATGGGGCACTATTCTTAATATTGATACTAATGATGGGGCACTATTCCTCCCTTTGACACCCATGATGGGGCACCATTCCTCCCACTAACACCAATGATGGGGAACTATTCCTTCTATGACACCAATGATGGGGAACTATTCCTTCTATGACACCAATGATGGGGAACTATTCCTTCTATGACACCAATGATGGGGAACTATTCCTCCTATGACACCAATGATGGGGCGCTATTTCCTTCCATTAACACAAACGATGGGGCACTATTCCTCCCACTAACACCACCAATGGGATGCTATTCCTACCACTCACACACCAATGATGGGGCACTATTCTTCCTATTGATACTAATGATGGAGCACTATTCCTCCCATTGACACCCATGATGCGGAACTATTCCTCCCACTAACACCAATGATGGGGAACTATTCCTCCTATGACACCAATGATGGGGCACACCAACGATGGGGCACTATTCCTCCCACTAACATCATCAATGGGATACTATTCCTACCACTCACACCAATGATGGGGCACTATTCTTCCTATTGATACTAATGATGGAGCACTATTCCTCCCATTGACACCCATGATGCGGAACTATTCCTCCCACTAACACCAATGATGGGGAACTATTCCTCCTATGACACCAATGATGGGGCACTATCCTCCCATTGACACCAACGATGGGGCACTATTCCTCCCACTAACATCATCAATGGGATACTATTCCTACCACTCACACCAATGATGGGGCACTATTCCTCCCATTGATACCACTGATGGACCACTATTACTCCCCCTAATACCGATGATGGGGAACTGTTCACTCCCACTGACGCCAGGACATTTTCTTCTCCCACTGGCCACAGTCCGGCCCCCCAAACATTTAAAGGGCAGTAAATTGGCCCTTTGTTTAGAAAGTTTGGAGACCCTGGATTAGAAAATAACAAATAAACAAATATACAAAATTAATCCAAATATATAAAATGAATTCCGAAAATGAATCATTCTAACATAACAATTATGACAAAACTAATCTGAAATAAAACAAATTGTTTATTCATGCACATCTCTATTCCATAAGAGTCTATAGCATGGCTCCCTTCCTGAACTTCAACTCCCACACTCTATTGTGGCCAGCATAGGTCTCTTGAATTCTTTAGACTTGTCTCCTCCCTGTACTGGCTGGAGGCAGGCAATGTTGCTAGGTCCAGCATTAACAGCTTTGTGAGAAACATCTGCAGCCAATGTTTCTATCATGCTTCATTCTTAGCCAAGCACCTGGTTACACTGACTTATAATAAAGTAAAAAATAAATGCATATTGCCAGATATTGTATTTTTTTCTTTGATGTTCTACTCAGATGTGATTTAATACTTACAAAGCCAGCTGCTTGCCTTATTGTCTCTCATATTCCATGGCAGTAAATATAAACTCTTAAATATTGTATTCTGTTTTCCCAGTATGAAGTGGTTTTTTTTCTATTTCAATTTTAACCTCAGTCTGAATAAGTACTGAAGTACTCACTGGGGTTACTCTATTTTGTAAGTTTAAAGTGGCATGTACAGTGGACAAAGTCTATACACCCCTGTTAAAATGTCAGGTTTCTGTGATGTAAAAAAAATGAGACAAAGATAAATCATTTCAGAACTTTTTCCTCCTTCAAAGTAACCTATAAACTGTATAACTCAGGTGGAGGGAAATAAAAATGAAAAAACTAAAATAATATGGTTGCATAAGTGTGCACACCCTTAAACTAATACTTTGTTGAAGCACCTTTTGATTTGATTCCAGTACTCTTGGCACATCTTGACTAGGCAATATTTGCCCACTCTTCCTCGAAAAACACTCCAAATCTGTCAGATTGCAAGGGCATCTCCTGTGCACAGCCCCCTTCAGATCATCCCACAGATTTTCGATCGGATTCAGGTCTGGGGTCTGGCCGGGCCATTCCAAAACATTAATCTTCTGGTGAGGCCATTCCTTTGTTGATTTGGATGTATGCTTTGGGTCATTGTCATGCTGAAAGATGAAGTTCATTTTCATGTTCAGCTTTCTAGCAGAAGCCTGAGTTTTTTGCCAATATTGACTGGTATTTGGAACTGTTCATAATTCCCTCTACCTTGACTAAGGCCCCAGTTCCAGCTGAAGAAAAACAGCCCCAAAGCATGATGCTGCCACCACCATGCTTCACTGTGGGTATGGTGTTCTTTTGGTGATGTACAGTGTTCTTTTTGCACCAAACATATCTTTTGGAATTATGGCCAAAACGTTCAACCTTGCTTTCATCAGACCATAACACATTTTCCCACATGCTTTTGGGAGACATCAGATGTGTTTTTGCAAAATTTAGCCGGGCTTGGATGTTTTTCTTTGTAAGAAAAGGCTTCCCTCTTACCACTCTACCCCATAGCCCAGACATATGGAGAATATGGGAGATTATTGTCACATGTACCACACAGCTAGTACTTGCCAGATTTTCCCGCAGCTCCTTTAATGTTGCTGTAAGCCTCTTGGCAGCCTCCCAGAACAGTTATCTTCTCGTCTTTTCATCAAATTTGGAGGGACATCCAGTTCTTGGTAATGTCACTGTTGCACCATATTTTCTCCACTTGATGATGACTGTCTTCACTGTGTTCCATGTTACATCTAATGCCTTGGAAAATCTTTTGTATCCTTCTCCTGACTGGTACCGTTTAACAATGAGATGCTTTGGTAGCTCTCTGCGGACCATGGCTTTTGCTGTAGGATTCGACTAAGAAAATGCCAGAAAAGACCTACTAGAACAGGTGAACTCTATTTTGAGTTAATCAGAGGCACTTTAAATGATGGCAGGTGTGTACTGACTCCTATTTAACATGATTTTGAATGTGATTGCTTAATTCTGAACACAGCTACATCCCCAGTTATAAGAGGGTGTGTACACTTATGCAACCATATTATTTTAGTTTTTTGTTTACCCCCCCCCCCCCCCCCCAAAAAAAAAAGATTTCAGTACAATTTATAGGTCACATTAAAGGTGGAAAAAGTTCTGAAATTATTTATCTTTGTCTCATTTGTTTACATCACAGAAACCTGACATTTTAACAGGGGTGTGTAGACTTTTTATATCCACTGTATATCTAATCTAAACAGCAGTTGCTAGTGCTAAGCAATTCACAGGCAATGAAACCTTCAGGCCAAAGTCAGCCATAAATAGTAAACTGCTTAATAAAGACTGTGCCCAGCCAAGCAGGAGCCCCACTGACATAGGCAAGCTTCCAGTTCTTTAATGCCAAGAAGCAGTGTCATAATAGCAAGACTGCACTGGGCAATCGAATGTCTATCTAAAGCAACTAAGAAGCATTTATTCTGCAGCACACATAATTCTTGGGGGTGCCCTCTTAGTAACATCTTATCTCTAAAATATTATATATACAGTAATACATATATATATATACACACACACACACTAACCGGCCACTTTATTAGGTACTCTTGTTCAATGCTTGGTAACACAAACTGCTAATCAGCCAATCACATGGCAGCAACTCGATGCATTTAGGCATCTAGACGTAATTAAGACGAGCTTCAAAATGGGGAAGAAAGGGGATTTAAGTGACTTTGAATATGGCATGGTTGTTGGTGCCAGACGGGCTGGTTTGAGTATTTAAAAAACTGCTGATCTACTGGGATTTTCACACACAACCATCTTTAGCGTTTACAGAGAATGGTCTGAAAGAGAGAAAATATCTAGTGAGCAGCAGTTGTGTGGATGAATATGCCTTGTTGTAGTCAGATGTCAGAAGAGAATGGGCAAACTAGTTTGAGATGACAGAAAGGCAAAAGTAACTCAAATAACCACTCGTTACAACCAAGGTATGCAGACTACTATCTCTGAATGCACAACACGTGGAACCTTGAAGCAGATGGTTTACAGCAGCAGAAGACCATACCGGCTGCCACTCCTGTCAGCTAGGAACAGGAAGGAGAGGCTACAATTCGCACACGCTCACCAAAATTGGAGAATAGAAGACTGGAAAAACATTGCCTGCTCTGATGAGTCTCAAATCTTAATTTTAGCTGTGACATTCAGTAGGGTCAGAATTTGGTGTAAACAACATGAAAGCACGGATCCATCCTGCCTTGTATCAACGGACCAGGTTGGTGGTGGTGGTGTAATGGTGTGGGAGAGATTTTCTTGGCACACTTTGGGCCCCCTTAGTACCAACTGAGCATGGATTAACTGCCTCCATATGATGGGCAGGTGGCGGTTCTCTCTTTCTGGGAGGACGTCCTCCAACTCTAACTGCGCATGCACGCCCTCAGAGGCATGCGGCGATCGGTGGTGCGCTGTGTCCCAGGGATACAGCGGATCACCAATCACTGTAAAGAGCTGATGACAGTTGCTCTGTCATGTGATCAGCTGTGTCCAATTACAGCTGATCACATGTAAATAGGAAATGCCGGTTATCGGCAGTTCTCTCCTCCCGCTGACAGCTCTTGAGGAAAGGAGAGCCGGTAATCGGCATTCCTAAGAGTGGACATCTACACTGATCATCAGGGCACTGATGATCAGTGTAGCCCCATCAGTGCTACCTGTCAGTGCTCATCAATGCCACCTGTAAGTGCCCATCAATGCCACAAACCAGTGCCAGTCAGTGCCGCCTATCAGTGCCAGTTAGTACCGGTCAGTGCCACCTATCAGTGCCATATGAGTGTTGTCTTTTAGTGCCCATCAGTGATGCCTGTCAATGCCCACAAGTGATGCCTGTCAATGCCCATCAGTACCTCCTCATCAGTGCCACCTATCTGTGCCCAACAGTGCCGCCTATCAGTGCCTATCACTGCAGCCTCATTAGCGCACATCAGTGAAGGAGAAAAATTACTTATTTACAAAATTTTATAACAGAAACTGAGAAAAAACTTTTTTTTTTTCAAAAACGTCAGTCTTTTTTAGTTTAACAAAAAATAAAAACCACAGTGGTGATTAAATACCACCAAAAGTCTATCTGTTTTAAAAAATGATAAAAATGTTGTTTGGGTACAGTGTTGCATGACCGTGCAATTGTCATTCAAAGTGCGAGAGCACTGAAAGCTGAAATTTGGCCTGGGTAAGAAGGGGGTAAAAGTGCCGTTAGGCAAGTGGTTAAACACCACGGCCTACCTGAGTATTGTTGCTGACCATGTCCATCCCTTCATGACTACAGTGTACCCATCTTCTGATGGCTCCTTCCAGCAGGATAATGCACCATATCACAAAGATCAAACTAGTTTCTTGAACTGACAATGAGTTCACTGTACTCCAATGGCCTCCACAGCCACCAGATCTCAATCCAATACAGCACCTTTGGGAGATTCACATCATGGATGTGCAGCTGACAAATCTTCAGCAACTGCGTGATGCTATCATGTCAATATGGACCAAAATCTCTGAGGAATGTTTCCAACAACTTGTTGAATCTATGCCATGAAGAATTAACACAATTCTGGACCTAATAAAGTGGCCAGTGAGTGTTTAGGTAACCAATTACAAAAAAAAAGTAAAATATTGCAGTTTACCAGATGTGGTAGCTGCATTAGTTTTCACTTTTCAGGCTAAGATTGTTTTCGGCAAGATCAGAAAATACCTCTTGCCAGAAATGCAGCGTCCTTCTGTCTTCCTGTAAACGTAAAATATAGCTAAAGGGAACACTTTTTTTTGTTTTGGATAGCGGGGAGACAGATTAGAACAACTGTCAGGTTTCTATTGCTGTTTGTGCCCCTATTAGGGAGAGTCACCCTCTGTATTTGTCCTGTTTACTGTTATCACTGAGAGTAAAAATGAAAGAAAATCCTAAATTTGGGTTCTCACCAGAACGGGAATAGAGGGAAACCTTCCAATGGGGACGCTAGTTCTAATGACTCTCTTGACAACCAGGGATTTCCTCTCACTTCCTGTTCCTGGCTATGAGATAGGTAGTTAAGTAAAACCTCCCCTATGGGACACACATATGAAAATTGAGTAATAAACTCTCCCTTGCTCTATCCAAATTGCTAAAAAGAAATTTGCCTAAGTCACCGATCACACAGTTGCGAATTAAAATCGTGCGATTTGTGTGCAATTTCAGCGTGATTTCAGGTGCGATTTCTGAAGACTTTATTCCTACTTGTGGAGGTTTTCAAAGATTTCTTGCAATTTCCATTATATTCTATGTATGGGAAATCACAACAAAACTGTAGAAAAAGTCATGCAAGAACATCCTTAGAAATCGTGTTCCAGCATATCACACTTTAAGACACTGACATTCACATTCATTAGATGCAATTTCATGTGCGATTTCAATTTGCAAATCACACCGGTATGACCGGGCACTAAAGCAGTACTGAAGCCTAGAGATACACACCTCTACTCCAGCCATGGGACCATTAGGTCCCACACAGTGTGCTGACATCTCTGGGCTTCTTCTGGGTGCCAGTCCTTGGCCATCTTGATTGGCTGGTGGCTTGACTCTTGTGCATGGGCATGGGAAGCCAGGGAAACAATGTTGGTGCTGTTGGGGGACCTCATGGATGATGCCTCTTTGGAGTGGAGGTATTTGCTTAGTTCAGAACCAAATTAATCAATGTGGCTGTTAGGGCTCATTTACATAAGTGTTGCCCTCTGAAGAGCAATCTATGGTGGATTGCTTTTCAGAGAATGTTTGGCAAGGATTTGAGGTGGACATATGTCACTACCTGTTTTAGTCCCACCATGCCAAATTTACCTGATGGTTGTGGGGCAACCCTATTTACTTGAATGGGTCATGTTTCAGCTGGTGGAACTGCCTACTAAAGTGATGGAGTATAATTCTTGCCACTCCCCGAAGCAAAACACTGTGGTTGCAGCATTTATAGAACTCCGTATGGCTGCTATTGTAGCTTAAATTGTTACTAAATCCACAACAATAAAATCAGTCTGTATATGCAGTAAAGCATGCTTGTTATATTCACTGTGTAACCTAAGGGGTTAATCCTCTGCATTGTGTAAAAAGGCTGTTTGATTCTGACTTCTCAGATCCTCCCCTTTTTCCAGTGTCCCCCTCTTATCTCCTGAAAGGACATTTGGTGTGGAGACTATCTGCATATGCTCAGCTTGGTGTGTATTGCTTGAGAGGTTTTTTTTTTTTCTTGGGAGAGTGCAGCAAAGGGCCAATCAGCACTGTCCAGACAGAGGTCAGGGGTTCTGCATCCTCCTTGAGCAGAATGAAAACTCTTCCTACAGGCTTTAACCAGTACTCCGCTGGACACTGATAGAAGTCACAAGACTGCTCTAACTGCTGATGAGAAAAGGTATTTAGCAGTTTATATTTACTAAAATAACTGCACTTCCATGTTGTGTGTACTGTAGGAGACCAGATATAGTGAATGCAGGGTCCTGGGTTTAATAACACTTTAAGAGAGAAGCAAGGTTGATGGGGCTGTAAAAATGCAGCTCAGCTGCCTATTTTCACTGCCCCCAACCGCAAATGTAAACTTAGCATTAGGGCTTATTCATGCTAGTGGTTGGGGGGGCAGTAAAATCCAGCAGTTGAGCTACACTTTGAGGGGATGTACACATGCCATGGCTGAAATGATACCCCCTGTCACTCTCGATGGGTGCTACTTCCTGCTAAATGTGACCCATTCAATAACAGCAGTTGTGGTGCACTAGTATAGGGTTCAAGGGGTTAAAGGAGTGTGTGAGGAGGCACCACATGCCATATACTCTCTGAAGAATGATCTGAATGCAGCTCACTCTTCAAAGAGTAAAGCTTGTGTGAACGAACCCTTAAAATGCACATAGGATCAAGACTTTGTTCCGTTTTAGATGCAGTAGAGAAGGGATAACACCTCTATCAGTTTATTTCCTACACTCTGTGCCCTACTATTGTGATTTCCTTTCACTTCCTGTCCTGGAGACCGAACAGGAAGTGAGAGGAAATCTCTCCCAACTGAGGGAAATTCCCTTCATAGACAGCTGTCCTCTGTAGAAGACATCTCCTCGCCTCTTGTGACAAAATGTGAGATTTCCCTTTATCTTCTGTCTCGGTGACAACAGTCACCAGGGAAAAGTGAATCTCTCTGCGGGGACACCGCTAGAAAAACTTGGCAGAGTGTTTAACCCTTCCACACTCCAAAACAAGTTTTCCATTGCTGATCCATGAAATAGACGAATGAGGTTGGATTTTAGAAGCTCCCAGACTAGTAACAGCAGGCTTCATGTCTGGCTCCATCTATCATACAAGCTCATCTGTTCTCCTTTCTTCACCGAGATGGCCGGCAGAGGGAGCACAAGTCCCAAACAAGGCAGAGCGGGCCATACCATTGCTTCAGGGAGACAAGGGGACGGAAAATCCAGACTGGACTACCAGTAGGGTCTGTGCGATAGAAAAAGAAGCCTAAAAATACGGCACAGCGTTTTTATATCGCAGTACAGAGGAATGCAAGGTATCCTTGTATGAGCGGGTGATAGGAGAGGAGTGCAGGCTGTTTCCGGTGCAGGTGGTACAGTCCGGTGACGTTCATTGTTTTGGTTCTGTCATCATCAGCAGGTACTAGTGGGGGGCAGCGAGCTGTGCGGGTGGTGAGGCCCTGGTGTGTACATAGCTGGCAGCGCTGAGCCCGGCCTTCCCTCTGCTCTCACTCTATATGACCGGCAGCTGCAGGCCCTCTGTCCCTCGTCGGCGGTAAGTGTCATGGTTGGGTCACTGGATAGGCCGGGGGGATGGAGGGAGCGCACATACCTGTGTCTTCCTGCTGTGTACTCCACAATCAGCCAATGACGGTGCACATAGTCAGGGCACCTCTTCCTCACTGGATGGGGGACTTGTGTAGAGGAACATGGGGGTACCTGAGTGAGACCTCCTGACCCAGGGGGGAACAAGGAGCCATAGGTCAGTGCTGGAGGAACCAACCCTGGACCAGGGAGGCTTTACAGCAAAATGCCACTGAAAAGGAATGGTGTGGTGGGACCCCTAAACTGCACCTGAGCACCCCAAACCAAGAATGCTATATCATTCATTCTTTTAATATTCCAAACAAACCCACCCATCTGTTCATGTCTCCATGCTTTATTTTACTGAGAAATCACTTTGAAAAACACCTCCTGGCAGGTCTGGCCATGGCCATCTTGAGTAAGGGCAGATGATTCATGTAGCAGTTACTTCCTGGAATCCATCTGCCCTTAGCTCAGGCATTGGCTGAGCTGAAAACCCTACCTCCCCTCCTGAAGACTCCTGGGATGTATTATTATTATACGGGATTTATATAGCGCCAACAGTTTGTGCAGCTCTTTACAAACACTTACAATACAATTTGGTACAAGAGGAAACAGAGGGCCCTGCTCGTTAGAGCTTACAATCTAGGAGGAGGGGTTGAGTGATATGAAAAGGTAATAGCTGTGGGGGGATGATATCATTTGTCTAGGTATGGAAACCAGAAAGTAAGTGAAGAAATGCAAAAAAGGTTAAAACAAGCACATATATACTTTCCTATCTATTTACTAATGCTAGCAGCAAGGATTAAAAATGGTCAATGTTGACTGAGAGAGTGAAATTCCACTTTAAAGTGGTATTAAACCAAAAATTTAATATTGCAGCTTACCAGTTATTAGATGTGGTGGCTGCATTAGTTTTCTTTTTTTTTTTAAGCCTTTTTCCCTGTTTTCATTTGGTGATCTGGCCGGTGACACTCCTCCCGTATTAGAGTGCCGCCACCCTGGATGAAGGGGAACATTTGGACAGCAGAATTGTCAGTTTGGGGTTAGGGGAGTGTTAGATATACTAGCAGATTTAGATACACTAACAAATTGAAGCCAAACACCTGCTAACACTTTAAAAAGGAGTTATAGCAACATTTTTTTTCCTTTTAGGATAAAGGTTTTTAATGAATAAATAAAAGCTGATCATTGTAAGCACCTCTGTCAGTGGTAAATAATTTGTCTCAACCCTGTAAACTACTACATCCTGCAAGAGAGCTTGGTCTTTTGAAAAACAGCAGACATGCTGGCCAGATCAGCTTAAAAGCAAGAAAGCCTTAAAAAAGAAAACTAATGCAGCCATCACATCTAAGAAGTGGTAGGTTGCAAAATAATAAATGTTTAATTGTGGATTTACTACAGCTTTAAAGTGTATCTAAACCCAAAAACAAAATTGTAATATATTGCAGCTTACCAGTCCTTAGACGTGGTGGCTGCTTTAGTTTTCTTATTTACGGATTTTTTCACATTGTTTGCATTTGGTGATCCTGCCAGTAATATGTCCTGTCTTAGGGCTGGTTCAAACCAGATGCAGTCCAGTGTGTTTTTATTCTGTATCAAAAACGAATGGACGGTGTGTAACATGGATTCCAATGGGTCTAGTTCACACCAGTACAGTAAATAAAAGTTGGCCACTAAAAATATAGCATTCTCTATCACATTCAGTGGTAACAGTCATTAGAACAGACATAGAGGGAGAATCTCTGTAACTGGCTGACAGCAATAAAACCTGACTGGTGTTCTAATGCCTCTCCAATTTTGCATTCACTTCTGACAGCTAACACTTTGTAAGCAGTTACAGCAACATTTTTTTCCATTGTAAGCACCCTTGTCCGTGTAAAATGGTGTGTCTCAATGATCTAGTTGCCACTTTTGCTGGACAGCTTGGTCTGTTAACCTCCCTAACTGTATTCCCGAGTGTAGCTCGGGGTAAAATGTCAGTACTAAAAGCGGTAACCCCGAGCTACACTCGGGCTTACCATGTGGCGCTGCATAGGGAGTCCCTGCAGAGCTTACCTTGTCCTTCGCTCCCACAATGTGTCCCCTGCAGCGTCCCCTGCCATCTCCTCCGGCCGATGCCGGCATCCAGCTTCTGTGGTCTGGTCCCTGTGACGTCGGGACGTACGGGCGCTGCCAGCGGCGGGAAATTTGAAAATTTTAAAAAATGTCATTTTTTTCCAAACAAATTTTACATAGTAAAACATTGCTGTTTCAACCCATTTCACATACATATTGTCCCTAGTGCTTTGTCCTGTGCCCTGCCTGCATTTTGTCTGCTCTTTCTGCCTGGAAACTGAGAAATGTCCATGGTGTCCAAAAAGTGTCCCTTTAGGTCAAAAGCAGTTTTAGACCAGCTAGATAACAGCGATAGTAAATCAGAACCACTTGCAGAATTGAGTGATAATGATTCGTGGGGGAAATTCGTCATCAGACACTGAAAACGATTCTGCGACTTTGCTCAGCAATGTGCGAACTTGGCGCTCTATTTCAAATTTCAGTGTTTTTGGTTTGATTCTATTATTGAATTAAATGTATTATTATTATATTATTATTTTTAATGATTATTTATTAAATTATAATTTATTATTCAGCACCAAAAATCTGAAATAATCATACCGCTAGGGAGGTTAAAGAGGAACTAAACCCTCCTATCCTTCTCAGCTAAGGAAGCTGCCATCTAAGCCGCTGTTTGATTTGCAGCTGCCATGGTGCTGCATATGTGATCAGTTATGGCACCAGCCATTTGATGGTTTGACAGTTTGGATAAAAGCAAAAAGTGACAGTTGGCATTCCCAGCATACCAAGTGTAATTGTTTTTTAAAACCAGTAAAGTGATGGGTTTAATTCCAATTTACAGCGGAACTAAACCCTCCTATCCTTTACAGCCAAGGAAGCTGCCATCTTTGCCTCTGTTTGATCTGCAACTGCCATAGTTCTGCATGTGATCAGTTATGAGACTATGATGGTTAGCATTCCTGACATGCCGGGATTGTAACTGTTTCATAAAACCGTTAAATCAGTGCGTTTTGTTGTACTTTAAAGCGGAACTAAATGGACCAATTCAGCGGTTTCCCCAAACAGTTACATCCAGGCATGCGTCAAATGGCAACTGTTTCAGTTGGTAGTGTGCCTTTGTCAGCTCTCACCTGAACTGTCAAGCCATCAATTGGCTGATGTCATAACTGTTCACATGTGCTGCACCATAGCAGTACAGATCAAACAGAGGCTAAGATGGCAGCTTCCTTGGCTGTAAAGCATAGGCAGATTTAGTTCTGTTTTAAAGTAATTTGAAAAATAATAAAGTCACTGACCACTTCACCAGGTGAAAATAAAAGAAAAAAAACTAAAAAAGAAAATCGAAGCAGCCAATACATTTAAGAATTTGAACGATGCAATATAACAACTTTTGTTTTTGGGTTTACATACACTTTTTAGCTCAATCCTATTGTTATTCCTCTATTTGCTGTGGATTGTTAAAACCACTGCTTCAGCGTTCCTCTTCATAGTGCCGTAGGGCAGTGGTTTCTAGGAATGACCGGTCACTCCAGTAGGGAGGCCGGAGATCGGTTGTGTTACTGCTGCCTTGTAGGTCTAGTAAAACAGCACTTGTGAGCTTTCATATAGTTAAAAATTAATGAAAGGGATACAAGCCCCTTTGTTAATGAGAAGCAATCTTCTCCTTGTTCTGTGCTGCATCTGTGATAGCCATAGCACAGAGAGAAGCCCAGCTGCAACTGCATGCTCTGGATTCCTCTGCCCATTTCACATCCCTCTGTTAAGCCGGTGCAGAACTCAAACTCATTTTTATTTCACTCTTAAAAAGAAACTGGAATTGGGTGGCACAGATAGACATGAAACAGGACTACCTGTTTGTTATTGTCAATTGTGTTAGTTTTTTTGCACCATTATAATTGTTCAGGTAACTTAGATATTTACCCAGATTATTAGTATATATAGTAGAATAGGGAAGAGCTTGAACTGCTGTCAGGTTGTTGTTGCTGTGTCCCCCCGCTTTGGAGATTTCCTATATTAGTGACAGTGTTACAGGGTGACACTGATACAAGATGAGGGGTAATTCCTCACTTCCTATTTTACAAAAAGGTCTTAGACAACAATAAAAACTTGAGTGTCCTAATTCTTCCACACTATATATAAAACTAAGAAAACTGGCATTGGACTTAAAATTGAATGCAGAATAGTGATATGAGCCTTCTTGTAACCACTAGTGTGTAATACATTCTCTGCACCTATAGTGGAGAACAGTAAAGTTAATAATAATTTGGAAGCACATATACATCCTGATATTGAGGTGGCTATACCGGGATCAAGGTTGAGGCTGTAACCATGATCCTGGTATAATTTTTTACATCAGGCAATTCTGCACAATGTAAAAGTAACCCTAGTGGCTATACAGCCTCTAGATTACTTTTACAGGTGCTGGAAGAGGGTCCCCTCCTGTTGCCACTGCCTTTACTAGGCTCTCCAGTCAAATCAGGGAGCCCAGTAAGGATGCATCCAATGGCATCAGCTTCCCTGGACATACTGAGAGGAACTGATGTTGTTCCTCCCACTGTGTGATGTCAGAAACCAGAAGACACAAGGGTTTTGTCACTTCCAGTTTCGGTTTGTTTGTCATTACCGCCTTGAGAAGCAACAGATCAAACTGATCTTGGTTTGAACTTCTGCTTTGGAGGCCAGAGGAGAGATCTATGGTCTCTCTAGTCATGAATATATCGCAATATCTGCAAGCAATTTTACATTTTAAGTTGTTGTTTACAAATTTGTATTGTTATCTATCTACAGGCTTCCTAACAAATCACAATGAACTGCCGTTCAGAGGTATTGGAAGTGTCTGTAGAGGGCCGTCAGGTAGAAGAGGCAATGCTGGCGGTACTACATACTATACTCCTTCACCGTAGCACGGGGAAGTTCCACTACAAGAAGGAAGGAACCTATTCTATTGGCACTGTTGGAACTCAGGACATTGATTGCGATTTCATAGAGTTTACTTACGTCAGAGTTTCTTCAGATGAGCTGGACAGAGCCCTGAGGAAGGCAGTTAGTGAGTTCAAGGTGAGACAACTGGATTTTCTTTAAAGTTTTGGTTGAGTAAGGAATGGTAAGAAATTCCACTTCTAAAAAATGAAAGAAAGATTTTAACTTTAGGCATACGTTAAAGGAGAACTATATGCAAGCTATTTTGGCTATACTTCTCCTGGGGATCACAGGAGTGCAGTTCGTTCTGCATTCCTGTGACCCATTTTCAGCCAAGAGTGAGCTAAAGCCCACTATCAGCTGACGTTACAGAGCCGGTCCAAGCTCTGTCGGGATCCACCCAGACACCTGGACCGGCAGCTGGCTCAGCCTCTTAGCACGCCAGCAGCTCCTGCCACCTCCACAGACCAGCTCACTGAAAGCTGAGAACTAAGCAATCAGCATTCTTTAATAAATATAAAAATGCAGCGCTCTAAAAGAATGACAACCTAATGTAACAGTATAAATATTGATAAAAGACTCATGTGATTCAATATAAATGCGTCTAAGTAAACGCACATATAACAATAATATTGTGCACAGTCCAAAGATAAATATAAATGCACTTTGGAGCACAACAGTAAAAGTGCAGATTGCGCCTGAGTATGGCGCAAGTGGTGCGTAAGTGACAGCTAATCGTCCAAATACAGGTAGGTGAACAGATCTGTGCTTCCAGTGAAATGTGGGAATGAGAATATATTACACTAACCATATATTGCAATTAAAAGAGCCTTTGAGTAACATAGACCACTCCTGGTCATCATCATCCTGGGGTAACCACGGGGATCATCTGGCATACGTCTGCACAACCGCTGATCATCCACTGCTACTCTCCGGATTCCAGGAAAACTCCACTTCAAGAATATGTACCCAATATAAAGCACTTAAGGAATCCACCTTAATAGCTCAAATTAAATGAGCCAGAAAGAGAAGTGCTATATAGTGCAGTAAGTTTATTAATTCAATGGTAAAACATGTATTTTGACAGTAAACACTCACATCTGGTATACAGGAATGCAGCTCAGGTATACAGGAATGTACAAAACAGTATCAAAGATGGCCGCAGGCCTCCCTCGTAGCTCATGCGGTGTAACGTCACTGGCTTGGCTCCTCCCTAATGCATTTTGTGCACTTGCACGTTTTCAAAGGGGCCCTTTAATAAATTTACTGCTTGGACTGTGCGCATCATTATTGTTATATGTGCGTTTGCTTAGACATATTTTTATTGAATCACCCGAGTCTTTTATCAATATCTTATACTGTTACATGAGGTTGTCATTCTTTTAGAGCGCTGCATTTTTATATTTATTGTCTCATGAGGGTTGGAGGTTTAACCTTTTATGCCAGCTGCTTTTTACTTTTGGGTTTTTCTAGCGCTCGTTTACCCATTTTTACCAATCAATCAGCATTCTTTGACCGCTCAGTTTTCAGTCTTACAGCTGGTGGGGGACCAATGCAGCATCGGACCAATGCTGCACCCACTTAGGTGAGTAAAAATGTGTTTGTTTTTATTTGTTTTTGTTTTTTTGCAAACCCATACTTTATAAGTATATATTTTAAAAGCATCTAGTAAGTACCTGTATGTGACTTTAAATCAGCCTCTTTGAATCCCTGTACACCAGAGCTCAGACTGGCAGAGGGTAAAGCTACATGAGGAGCTAGTAAGATGTGCTGAAGTTCTCATTTGCTAAAAAGGGACATCTGACAAAAAGCAGAGTAATAGACCGATCACCTTATCAGTCTGCTGCTTCTCATTCATTGTCCAGTCACTGGTTTGAGGCAGGGACAAGACCTAACTGTGCTATTTAATTGCAGTAGAAAAAAGTAAGGTCTCCAGGCTGGCTGTGCTGAGTGGCAGGGTTGAGTAAATCTCAGGAATAAATGGATAGAAATACGTATCCTTTAGCTGGTACAACAGCATCCATATACCATATGTATTTTTTCTATATTTGGCTGTTTGCCTTGAGTTTAACTTGTCCATTTGGGGTGGAAAAAATAACTATTTTACACGTTAATTTGTAAATTGAAATTTTGATGAGAAAATATAATGAACTAAAACATAGCATTTAGCTTAATTCCTGAAGCTAAGGTAATTGCTTTTTGCACTTTATTGTCTTATTTAATGAGCCTGAGTGTGTTTGTCTGTTAGAACTATCAACTTTTCAACTTTTTTATTCCAGGAGGCTCTCAGGAATTCTGGAAATGACGGCATCGGTCAGATTTCTCTCTTGAATTCTACCAGAAGAAGAAGTCTCGTTGGCCATTCTCAGATGAATGCATCCCATGGGAGGTTTGGACAATCAAAGTCAACATTGTGTCACTGGCCACTGAGCAGGAACGGCAGATCTGTAGGGAAAAAGTGGGAGAGAAACTGGGAGAAAAGATCATTAATATTGTGGAAGTGATGAACAGACATGAGTATCTACCAAAAATGCCAACACAATCAGAAGTGGACAATGTCTTTGATACAACTTTGAAGGATGTTCAGCCTTATCTGTACAAAATTTCCTATCAGATCACTGACTCTTTGGGCACATCTGTCACTACTACAATGCGGAGACTCATCAAAGACACACTGGCACTGTAGCCCTGCATGTACCCAAAATATTTATAGAATGGACTGCAGTCATTAATTTTAATGGTCACTAATTACACTGATTGACGAAAAAAAAATCATAGAACAGTGGCAAGTTTGTATATAGTCTTTACCTTTTTCTTTTTAGGGTGTGTAAAATATTGTAATTCTTATAAATAATAAAAGGTATTGAGATTATTGGCCTTTTTATTATCCTTTCCCCCAGACTGACGATGCTGATTTCCAAAGGTGCCCCCTGTGCTGCTTCACCTAGAGCGCTCTAATACAGAAGGTGTGTTACTGTCCAGATCACCAGGTGAAAACACAGGGGAAAAGCCTATGAAAGGGGGGGGGGGGGGGGGGAAGGCAGCCACAACATCTAATGACTGGTAAGCTGCAATATATAACATTTTTGGTTTTGGGGTTAATACCACATTCAACTTCAGCTATTAAAGCTTAAGATGATAGAGACATTTTAAAAGCCTGTGAAACACACTGGACTATATATTATAAGGAATGATGTGGTACTCCATTGTTTTTTTTTTTTTTTGTCCTCTTTAAGCTATTATTGTTGATGTCTACATTGGGGAGATTTAACCTCTCTGTTTGTTCTAGGGAACATGGCCCTGGCACAGGAAGGAGATGGAACATACAAATCTAACATTTTACAGTTGTCACTGGAACAGGAATGGAGGAATATCTTCTAATGGGGAGACCTGTTTCAAGGAAACTTTGTAACGGAATTTGCTCTCACTTTCTCTTGCATCTCAAAGACAGGAAGTGAAGGATTATTGCCCCAAATCAGGCACAGACAGCAAAAAAAGGAAACAAATAAACATAAAAGGGATTCTAATCTTTCTGTACTCTCTCCAAAGTTGAAAAAGTTTTGGCTTTAAGTACACTTTTAAGAAAACCTGTATTATAAAAATATGTAGGCTACTATTCCTTTTTGGAACTACTACTTGACTGCCTATTAATCTCATCTAAATGCCTAAATAGGTCTCACAGATCCAAAACAAGTATGCAGGTCATGAAGAAGGTCTCTCCTCATGACAAGTCGAATGCTTGTTCTGGGTCAGTAACTCAAAAAGTGTAAAAGCCAAAGATAGCCAAATAACAGGAATTCTCAGGGGGCATCAGGTTTCCAATAGTATGTCTGCAGGTGGTAACTGTGAAAGGTATTTACATTTGATACATAGGATGGTGGTTTTCACAGCCTTTTGGATATTTTGTTACATTGCATTGTGTTTTGTAAATCTGCCTGGAGCTCAGCTTTAAATGTTCTTTGCCCACACCCTTTTTAGCCTAAAACTGATGAAAAAAAAGTCTTCATTAAACAGAAGCTATCTAAACAGAAGATAAAAGTGCATCATTTTTGAATGAGGGAGGGTCAGAGGTAGGGCCAGAACATGGACTCCAATCATATTGCAGCCTGGGGCATGTAAAGGGTTTAGGACAGAGGTCTTTAACTGACAGGCAGCAAATTCATTTTACAGGCATACTTCGGTTTACGAATTTAATTAGTTCTGCGGGACTTTTCGTATAGCAAAAAAATTGTAAACTGAAACACCGTTTCCCATAGGAATGCATTGAAAACCAATTAATCCATTCCTGAGGTTAGAAAAAAGTAAACGCTCCAAAAATATGCATGTGTTATTTTATCAGTCATACGGTATACGGTATTATAGTAGTGACAACCATGTGTTCATGTTTCAGCTGTCAGCGGTATTCCCCACTGACAGCTGAATGTAAAAGAATTGCTGGCAATTAAAAAAAATAAATTGCCCTCTCATCCATACCAAGCCCTTCGGGTCTCGTATGGATTTTGAGGGGAACTCCCACGCCAAACTTTTTTTAGAAATGGCATGGGGGGTCCCCCCAAATCCATACCAGACCCTTATCCGAGCACGCAGCCCGGCAGGTCAGGAAAGGGGTGGGGGGAACGAGCGAGCGCTCCCCCCTCCTGAACCATACCAGGCCACATACCCTCAACATGGGGACAAGGGCCTCTTCCCGACAACCCTGGCCGGTGGTTGTGGGGGTCTGTGGGCAGGGGGCTTATTGGAATCTGAAAGTGCCCTTTAACAAGGGGGGCCCCCCCATGTGAATGAGTATGGGGTACATGATCCCGATACTTATTCACAAAAAGTGTAGTGTGAAAAAATACAGGGCATGCTCTTTGACAAGTCCTTTATTAAAAGAAAAAACTAAAAGAATGTCCCCCGCAGTAGATCCAACGTCAATCACGATGCCCGCCACTGACCCGAAAATAAAAAGAATAAAAAAAAAAAGGCTCCACTACCGACGATGGCTCCCACCTCCTGTCTGCTCCAGTGGTTTGACAGTTCTTAAATAGTAAAGGGGCGGGGCCACCCGGGGACATCACTCGAGTGACCCCGTCCCATGTGACGTGATTGATGTCACATGGGGTGGGGTCCCATGCGTAATTTTGGTGTGGGGTTCCCCTCAAAATCCATACGAGACCCGAAGGGTTTGGTATGGGTGGAAGGGGGGACCCCATGCTGTTTTTTTTATTTATTATGGTGCCAGTTTTTAAATGTAATTACCGCTTTTTTTTTTTTCTTCACTATGGCTCAGAAATTCAGCTGTCACTTTTGCCCGGCTAAAAGAAAGAAAGTTTTCTTTTTAGTTTATTTCCCCAAGTTAAAAGAAACAGTGTTTCCTTTTAGTTTCTTAAAAGAAACAAAGCTTCCTTTAACTGGGGGAAAGTAACAGCTAATTATGTCAGCTATAGTGAAGCAAAAAAAAAAAAGCCTGCAATTGCATTGAAAAATCTACACCGACATACACTTCGTATTGCTAAAAAAATGTGTAAAAAAATTCATAAACCAAGGCATTATACTCAATGGATTTTCATTCGTAAACCCAAAATTATGTTAACCGCTGGTCCTGCATTGTATGTGATGATGTCAGCAAGCTGCAACCAGCCTGGCATTGAGGGAAGGGGCTTTAGAGGAACGCTCATGCAAGAAGCAAGAAGCCTGCTGTGTCTAAGAATATGGTATTTATACTTCTTTCTTCCCCTCCTAGCCAAACAAGCATTTAATACATGCAGTGTAGAGTTGGAGGGGTAAATGGGGGTCACTGCATGGGTATATTTAGAAATAGGCTTTACTTATTATAAGAAGCCAAGAAATGCTGTACAAGACTGAATATAAATGAGCATGGCAGCAAGCGTACACCCAGAGATGGGCACGGTTCAACCATTTTGGCTTCAACCTCCATCTTGGCAAAGGGTCGAACATATTCCCCCCCCCCCTTCATTCTCATTCTTCCTCTCTGTTCAGCCACAGCAACATATGGCCTGTGTGTTGGCAGTGTCCCAGGAGGCCAGGGCACAGCAGGGAGCCCCAAGCTACAAAACCCCCAAGGGAGCTGGGGCCTTGCTGTCCAAAGAACCTGAGTAATCTAGCACATCGTAACAAGATAACGTAAGCCTTCCCAGGAGTTCAAAGACACTCCAGAGGAGCACAAACCAGATAACACTTTTAAAATCCATTTTTCCCGTATTTCTCATATCTTGGAATATGAGAGACTTCCGTAAAAACCAGACATATCTTCAGATTGCCCACGAGAAGACAAACAGTTTAATAGGTCACTCCCTGAATGGAATACCTAGGAAAGCAGAAAATTACATCTGTGGAACCCTTCAAATATGTAATTCATATTTCATATCTACCCGTTCCTCAGATGCGTCTGCATAGTAATCTACCCATGGGTGGAATGTCACTTGTGCATAGGAAAAGTTATGAGCCAAATATGAACTATAAGAGATTTTGGCTCTAGTTTAGGTCTACGCCCAGACCTTCCCTCCCTAAACGGAGCATTGGTCCTTGACTTCAGAGACACCCCCTGATAGGGAACTACAAAATGGGCTGTCAGGCCTAAGAAAGTTAAGTTGAAGAATTCTCCCTTTTAACATCAGAACCAACCTGGGAGATGTGCCCTTTTGCTTTGAAACTTGATCTGCAAACCCAAGGTTGATTGGCAAGTACTTTAACCCTTTAACCTCCTTTCTGTTACCTCTTTGCTGTGCTGTTGTTCTCTGTATATTTATATATATATTAGTTACATCTTTTTTCTGTAAAATATTTTTATTGCACACTTTTGACCTTTTTGTAATAAATCTTTCCTTCTGAAAGTGTTGAACTGTTTCTATAGCTCGTTAATGCAATTTACGAATTCCTGCCTCTAAAAGAGCGCTACTGTGTTTGTTTAACCCTCTGTATAACCGATCTGCAGTGACAGTGTTATACAGACGATTATCTCAACCATCATCGTGTTAGTGTTATTGCTGGTATAGCCAAGTTTCCTCTTTCTCTGTACAAAAAGGAGGTGGTGGCAGTGTGAAGGGTTAATTGCGTAATTAACCTGACCCAGTAACAATCGCTCCCAGGATGCCGGTACATCGATTGTGGTCCAATTAGCTGGAAAATTGTTGTGCAGGGTGCAGCTGGGCGTGGCATTGTTACGCACGTGACATCGCGGTTCTAGATTGGCTGGTCCTTCTGTCACGAGTTTGGTGAGAAGGTCAGGGGTCTGATGCCGCGTTCGTCACAAGCATCATCACTTCTAATGAACCAACCAGGATTAGGTTTATGTGAGAATGTGAATATTCAGTGTTAAAGATAAATTTCAGGTATAGATCATTTTATTTCCAGCTTGGACCAATGTAGCTATCCATATACCATACCTGTCCAATAAATGAGGAAACTGGAAATCACTGTATTAGGCACCACTACTTCAGTGATCTTAACTAGCTTCTGATTCCTGTGCTGAACTGCTGCCCTGCTACATTGTGGTGTAAGGCAAGGGTGCCATTCAGAGCTTGATTTGCATTTATTCATTGAAAGGATGAGGTGGAGAGGTGGGGTGGTGATGTCTTGATCTCCACCTTGTTCAGTCAGAGAATGCTTTCAATAATAGGGGAGAATCATATCAAATATGACCTCATGAGATCTCTCTTTGGTATACCTATGCACTGACACAAC